TCTGATTTAAGCATTGTCGTGAATTCGTACTGAAACAACTAAGTCTCTGTGGATCGATACCCTAAGTACTACAGCGCACATCTGTGCACTTGCAGACATTTAGGGGTTATAAAATTAAAACTTGAAGCTTAGTAGAACGAACCAATACCCCGTTTACAATCGCATCAGATACACAATGCATGTAAAGTATCTCCCTCTTGGTAAAATGTCTTGACTGGTTCCATGAAAGGGTTCTTGTCTCTCGATGATTCTTTCACCACAGGGACATAGTTTCGGAATGCCTAAGTCTCCATCAGCGACATGATAAATCCTCTCGATATACTTCTTCACCTTTTTCTCCTCGCTGTAGCTCGGATCCATCGCTAGGAAGAAAGGATTCTGAAGATAGAGAGAGAGAAAGAAAGTGGGGAATGTCAAGAGAGATTAAGTTGGGGAGTTGGGATAGGTTTATAAAGACACAAAGCCTGACATAAAAGTTAGGTTGGAGAAATTTGAGGCAAATAGCGGCTGGTGCTAAATTTTTGGGAACAATTGGAGTTTGGCGCCCAACTTTTTGGGAAAGTTTTTGAAATTTGCGCTAAATATTAGTCATAGTTATACAGAAGATAGTAGTTGTACAAAAATTCCAAATATATTTTGAGTGAATTCCATTTTATTTAGTATTACTCACCCTAAATAATTGCTTTATTAGTTTTACAGATACATATACTCTTTTCTAAGTGTACTATTCAGTTAAATATTCAATATTAACGTTTTTCAAAAAATTTCATCCTAAGATGGTTATTATTTACAAAAGTGATCTTAAAAGTCTAAGAAGTATATTGTGTAGACTTTGTCATAACATATTAATATGATGTAAAATATAATTTCAAATCAAAATTGTGATGTTATAATATTGTGTAAATTGTGTCATAACATCCCAACATCTGAACACATGAATATTGGTTTTGTTTTTCTAAAAGTGTAAATTGTTACATAACATCCAAGTGTCATCAGTTGTACTAGTTTTACAATGTTTAATGATAGTAGTACCAGTTGTACTAGTTGTACATTTTTTGCTTAGTTAATACCTGCAAAACTGTATTGTCCCTAAATCAGGGGTACATAGTATTACAGGATGGAAAAAACTTGTTCTATTTAGTATTACAGGATTGAGTACAAGTTATACATAGTATTACATTGGAGTTCTACCATTTCCAATAGCATCCATTGGAGTTCTTGTCTTAGCCGTCTTTTATTTTGCGTCCTAGGACACCGTTCTCCAGCCGACATAAATCTTTTAACTCTCCTTCTTCCCTTCTTTTTGACTTGATCCGGAGGTATGATCTTCTTCTTTTCAATTTCATGTGGGACATTCCACTCAGACCTATTCAGAACTAAATAAATGGTCTTCTTATACGCCATGGCCCACAACTCTGTCCAATAATATCTTGAACACAACTCATCCAACTCACTACCTCTACAAGCATCATTTTTGAATTTAATGAAAGCAGCGGGTGCGTGCACACAGTGATACTTCTCAACATTGAACACCCTGCAACTGCATCTTCTCAATTTCAAGTTCACCAAATAAGACTTTCCATATGTACCGATGACATTGTATTCAGTGGTAAAACTGTTTAACTCCATCATAGTTAATTTCTCAGCAACATTCCATAAATCATGCATGTAGTTTTCCACTAAAGAAACCATATTATTATCAATTAATCCAGCAACAACGTCTTTTGATGTTGATTAAACCAATCAGCAAATTGTTTAATCACCGCATCGAGCATGGGTATTAGGGAGTACTTCCTCGCATTTTCAAAAACATTCTTGAAAGATTCCACACAGTTGTTTGTGTCTATGTTGTATCTGTCACCTGGAAAATAACACCTAACCCATTTTTCTGGTACGGTACTGTCCTCAACATATTTGGCCGCAGAAAGATATCTTATCTTAAAATATGTATACTCACAGTTGATCTAAGCCACCATATACAACCTACTGCATTCCATGAATCTCCATGCGACTACATCTTTGTTGACGACGTTACTAGCATGACCTTTGACATTTTGGGCCAAATGCCAGACACAATGCCCATGATGTGCCTGCGGATACACAATGACTATTGCGCTGATGAGGCTTGCATTTCTGTCATTCATAAATACCAATTTATATGAGTCCGCAATGACAGTCTTCAGCATCTCGAAAAACCAGGTCCAACTAGCATTATTCTCACCATCTAGTACACCAAACGAAATTGGATAATGGTGTCTATTAGGATCTTGTGTTGATGCAAAAACCAGTACACCACCATATCCATTCTTGATGAAAGTTGCATCCACAATTAACACCTTCCTCATGACTTGAAACCCTTCTATGCTAGCTCCCAATGCTATGAATAGGTATTTGAATTTTCCTTCCTCATTCAACTTCACATTTGTTATTGTACCAGGATTGACCTCCACTAACATATACAAATAACAATACAGCATCTTGTAGCTTTCTTCCAGACTACCACGCAAATCACTAACTGCAAGTTTTTTCTCTCTAGACGCTGTGGAGTATGATATCTTAACACCAAAAACCGTCTTAACACGCTCCATGATATTTGCAGGACTTGTAGTTACCATCTGACCTGGATAATAATCATGCAAAAGTGATGCAACTAATCGTGGATTGCCTTTTCTTTTAGGGTTACTCTTACTCTACTTGCTCGAGAGCATGAATGCATCTTTGTGTGCGTTCTAACCGAGAAAATTTCTGTCCGTGGGATTCTTGCAGCTCGTAAACCCCATTTACACCTTTTTTAGAACATTTGACCACGTAACAAGTCTTATCCGACCACATTATAACATAACCAAAAAACTTGAGAAATGTTCCTCTATCCACGAACTCTTGCAATTCCTTTTTATTTGGAAATTCCTGAAACTGACTCACACCCAAACCGTGTTCCCATGATTCTATTCGCTGACTGGATTCTAACAAAGGTGGAGACTCTTGCATAACTGATCTATCAGGGCCATCATCAGTACCCTTATCCACACGTTCATCCATAATGTTTGCTTGTTTGTTGGGCACGTACATAGTAATGGCATTAGCTCCAATTTCATCTTCAATAGTATTGTCTTCTCTCACCACTTGCTTAAACAGTTCCGAAATATTCATAGCTTCCACATACAAAATACATCTTCAATTGTCTTTATCAACAGATGTTAAAAAAACACACAGATCCTCATCATCAGAAATAGTAAACCGTTCCTCACTTCCTCCAACCAGTAGTGGAATGGAACTTATCTCCAATTTTATCTTATATTCATCTAATGCAACCTTCTTGTATATCCTAGCTTCTATCATCGACAGAGTTATCTCCCTTACATGTGTCTTCAACATTAAACTATACATGTGACATTAACATTTAAAATGTATATTGACAATTTGCTCATTGTATCTATCAAAACAATAAAAACACTTGATCAGTAATACTAGTAATCCAGAGTTATACCTTCTCTATGCATAGTAATACTAGTTGCACCAAGTTTTACTCAATAAATCACGACTTCAAGTAATACCAGTTTTACTAGTTATACTATATTCCCAGTATGATAGTTATACCCAGTTCTCCTTTTGCAAGAGCTAGATGTTCTTACTGATTACTTAACATGACATACGATTTTACCCCTAAACTAGTTATGTAACTAAATTGAAGTCCTAATCAATCCAGAAATAAAGTTTAAACATTCAATGTGCATACTAAAATGAGCTTAACATATACTCAATTCAATATAGAAAATCTGGGAAACTTACCTGCTAGGACAGCTCGAAAGAGGAAGAAACAACAATAGTGGAAGAAACAGACGACAATGGCAGTGGCGTGGACTCAATTTCCAGAGCCCAATCTCCCAACATTGGTGGCGATAGCCGATAAGAGAGGGAGCCCGAGCAAAAGGAGAGAGGGAGCTCAGAGCGAGTAGAGAGGAGAGAGAAATTGTTGGATCAAATTTTTAATTCAGGTCGGGAAAAAACAGTTTTGAGTTTTCCTTTTTTGAATTAATTTATATATTAAATTGTTTAAAACATGGTAAACTTGTCTTTTCATGTTAAGAGGGTAATAAGAGATAAAAGAGCGAGATAAGAGATTAAAAGTTTTTAATGATTGATATATTAGATGATGGCCTAAGATTAATTGTATTGAAGATGATCTCTAATTGATTTGAGGTGAAATATTATATAAAAACTAGGTGAATACCTGCACATAACGTGCGGTTTTTTTTCAATTATTTCCAATTTATATATTTTATATTTTTCTAATAAAAACATAATCATCAATTGCTATATTATTATAAATCAATCAATTTTAAATATAATATCATTAAAAATTAAAAGTTTTATACCAAAAAACCATCAATATGTTTAATTAATTATAACATAAATTCTTGTTTAATATTTACATAAATATTGTTTGAGAATTAATTAATAAAAAAGTTTTCATATTATTAACAAATCAAAAGTTTATACAAAAAAAATCATCAATATTTTTAATTAATTATAACATAAATTTTTGTTTAATATTAACATAAATGTTAATTAAGAATCAATTAATAAAAAAAACTTTTCGTTTTCTTTGAGTGGTTAAAAACTTAATATTAAAATTTATTAATTAATTTTCTTTAAAAATTGTAACTTTATATTAAAAATTGACACATGTCATCTCTATATTAACTTTAAATTGCTGAGGTGTCACTCATATGGAGAGAGTTGGTCATCTTTTATATATAAGATTTGTCTGAATTTTTGTATTAATCTATTACTATCTTTTTTTCTATAAAAAAATCTCTTAAATCTCTTGATCTTTTTTAAAATCTCTTAATCGTTTACTTTCTCTTAGCCAAAAATTCTGTTAATCTTATTTTTATTACAAACGGGTCCTCGTTGTCACGCACTTTCCGATGGTGAAGTTTTCGATTTATCTACAGTTTCCCCTAAGTATCTTCTCCTTCTATCTTATTGGACCCCACTCTTCTATCTCTTTTCCCCTTTCTTCTTCTTCTTCTTCTATCCTCCCCTCTCTCTCTCCCACAAGTCATCTTCTTCCTCTCTCACAAACCTCCGAAACTTCTTCTTTTGCTCTGTCTTTGTTTAATCATCTCTACCTGGTACCATCTCTGTTTCCAATTTGCTCTCTCTACCTTCGATTTTCACCCTATACTAGCTTCTCTCCGACCCGGCCTCATGTTAGCCTTCGAGCTTCGCGTCGGCTAGTTGTAGCGCATGGAACTCCCTTGGCCTTGGTGTGATTTTTCCGCCCGTCGGGTTTTTTTATTCTAATCTCTTTGATCGGTTAGATCTAATTGTAGTCGGTGGTTAAATAGTTGCAGCTGGGTTTATGTGAATTTCATGTGATTATTGGGACTTACCATTTTTATAGCTCAGATTATTGGGATTAGAAGTGAGGGTTTTGTGTGAATTCGAGATTATTAGGGTTTTGACATATTTCCAAACAAAGATTGTTTTTTGATGAAGAGAGGGAAAGATGAGGAGAAGATACTTGAACCAATGTTTCCTCGACTTCATGTGAACGATGCAGACAGAGGACCTAGAGCTCCTCCAAGGAATAAGATGGCTCTCTATGAGCAACTTAGCATCCCTTCTCAGAGGTTTAGTACTGATAATGGAGCGTTGCTTCATAATTCCAGCACTTTGGTTCCTCCTGTTGGACCATCTAGCCAGGTACAGTATATGTTGTGGTTTAGTAATAGTTTTGTAATGGGTTTGAGTTGTGGAAACTGATGTTCATATAGAGCTTGCAAGAAAGAAAGGAGGTGATTGATCTTGATTATATGTTTTTCTCTGCAGCCTTGCGGCGTGGAAAGAAACTTATCTGCACAGCATCTTGATTCTTCAGCTGCAGTACATGCAACTGAAAAGTTCGTCTCCCAAACGTCCTTCATGGAAAAAGTGAGAAATTTGTCACAGCATGAACAGAGGAAAATAGCAAGGGAGGAAGATGAATTCGCGGTTCCAATATTTGTTAACTCAAGAAGGTTTCAGTTTCATGGCAGAACCAAGAGTGGCATTATGAAGGAAAAACACAGCACATTGGTTAGAGAACAGCCGAAGGGGAGTGCAAAGCGAGGTGGTTTTGGAAACTCGTTAGATATATCAGCTACAGAGGAAATGGATCTTGAAAAATCAGCATCGAGCTGTGACAGAGTAAATGATTGTAATGCTGCTTTGAGACGAGAGTCTAGAAATAGGTTAGACCGAGATGGTGGTGAAACTCAAGTGATGGACACAGATAATGGAGTTGAATCTCACTTGGCAATGGAAAGTCATACAGAAGAGGGTCATGGCAATCCTAATGACGTTAATAATGGTCGTGAGTACTGTAGAAGTAGAGGATACGCCTCTCTGCAGCAGATAAATGAAGAGGCAAGTGATGATGTTTCAGATAATTCGATGGTGGATTCTATATCCAGCATGGATGTCTCTCCCGATGACGTTGTGGGAGTATTAGGTCAAAAACGTTTCTGGAGAGCAAGGAAAGCTATTGCCAAGTAAGTTCTATAGATTTCAGTTAACATGGTTATTTATTTCTGCTTTTTATATCCATCTCTTTCTTTGATACTGACATTTGCTACTTGCAAGAAATTAATACTAATGCATTGTTACTTAACTGGACTGAAGCTTTCCTCTGTTGTCTTTTGCTACTCAAGGATAACTGTAGTAGGGAATATTTCACTATCACCAAATTTCTTGGACATTTTTCTATGTATTTTTTTTTGTTTTGTAAGTGTTTAATGATGCAATGGATTGTTGACGTACATATATGATTATTACCCAGTTTTGTATCGTGTTTCATTTTTGGGAGAAAAGATTTCGGGTTTTTTGGTTAAGAAGTGATAATTCTATAGTGGAGAGGCCCCTGATTCCTGTCAAAATGGTCCTATTATGTGGTACTTGAAAAGCTCTCGGTAACATATTAACGCATTTAACACATTGGATCATGTTAGCAGGGGGGGGACATTCTCTGTTGACGTACATTGTGCAAGGTGCCCGCCGAGACAGTTCATGGCTTTAAACTTTGTCTTCTTTGCATCTGCATGTTGGAACATGTCCCTGTCTCGGTTTGGTATTGCTTTTATTCTGCACTGTCGTCTTGAGCATTTTCCCTTCTTGTCATTCAAGGGGTTGAACCAGGTAGGGGAACGTGCTTTTGAGGACCCCTGGATCAAAATTATGGTTAAACCATACATAAAGCTAGTTATGAGTCTTATGAGGACGCAGATATATAGTTGCTTTTGCTACTGCTTAAGAGGATTTTAGGGTCGTTGTGAACTACAGAGTTTCTATGGATTTTAGACTCCATGACTCGGGCTTTAAGGTTCTAGGTATTCTTATCGCTATGGTAAGGTGTTGGGATAAGCTAGAAATCAGTAAACCCATCCCTTGCATTATGGGTCTTCGATTGTTCTTTCTCCTTCTTTTTTGTTGAAAGTTTTTTTATTATCTATACTTTAATGTCTGTCCTTGGACGCATTGATTTGCTTTTTAATTATTGTTGATTAGAGAGTTATGTATTCTTGATTTTTTTTTTCATCTCATTTTCTATTCTATTGTTCCATTAGCTGTTCAACAGAATATGTCTTTCTCTGCCTGACTCTGTTTCTCCTTACAGTCAACAAAGAGTATTTGCTGTTCAACTATTTGAGTTGCACAGACTTATTAAGGTAAACTCATTCAGAAAAATTCTCCTATGGTTTGTATCGGGCTAAAACAAATGTGTTCAACTGTACTTTTTTTTCGTAACATCCAGGTTCAGAGGCTTATTGCTGCATCACCGGATGTATTGCTCGATGACATCAATTATCTTGGAAAAGTTGCTGCTAAAACCTATCCAGTGAAGAAGCTCCTTCCATCAGAATTTATACTAAAGCCTCCTCTACCACAGGTTATCAAACACACGAGCGGCGACTCGGAGAAGACTGACCAAAACAAAATGGAATGCTCAGCTGAGAACGTAGTCGGAAGATTGCCAAACCAAAGCCATCATCAACCTTCCAACTACATGCCTTTTGCGAGCAACCCACCAAACGCTTCACAAGCTTCAAATGGATGTTACTTTCCTCCTCAGCCTCCTCCTTCAGGAGGAAATCAGCAATGGTTGATCCCAGTAATGTCTCCTTCCGAAGGGCTGATATACAAGCCGCACCCAGGTCCGGGACAAACAGGGCCGGTCTGTGGAGGATATTATGGTCATTTTATGCCTGCACCGATGGTAATGGGTAATTTCATGGGCGGTGGTGGTCCACCTCCGTATCACCCGGGCATGGGATTCCCATCTCCTGGTAATGGCTACTTCCCTCCATATGGTATGATGCCCACCATGATGAACCCTTACTGTTCCGGCCAACAACAACAACAACCTAATGAGCAAATGAATCAGTTTGTGCATCCCGGAAACTTTCAGAATGCATCAGCTTTAAACACCCAACAAGAAAGCTCTGTTCACGAAGAGGCTCCACAACAACAGACAACGAGATCTTATTCTCGGGCTAGAAAGAGCAGGCAAGGGAGCACAGGAAGCAGTCCAAGTGGTCTAGAAAGAGTCTCTGGTAAGAACTCTTTTCGGCCATTCTCAGCAGTTGATGATGACAACAACAACGAGCCTGAGCAAACGATGACGACAACTACAACCACAACAAGAACAACTGTTACTCAGACAACAAGAGATGGAGGAGGAGTGACCAGAGTGATCAAGGTGGTTCCGCACAACAACGCTAAGCTCGCAAGTGAGAATGCTGCAAGGATTTTCCGATCAATACAAGAAGAACGTAAACGCTACGACTCCTTCTCTAATCACTCTTAAAAGCCTCTCTTATCATTATCCTTTTTCGTAAGATGTGGTGTTTGCGACTGAATATGTATTTTAAAAATGTAGAAAAAATTGTGATAGATGTCCTTCTCTAAATTTGTACAATGTAAACGTATGAAAGCTTGGTTGTTACCAATCATTTATATATATCATATGTCTTATAGCCTTTAAAATATTGTATGTTAAGGGTGTTCATCAAAAGTGTGGTGCATATAAAACCGATCTTTGCAAACGTGTAGAATATCAATGTTCTTATAATGGATATGGTATGGACCCTACTGTGTATGGACAAGCCCGTCCATGATGTTTAGCCCTTCTTGCTTTCACTGCAAATATCCCGAGTTTATTAAGATTGTCCAAGTAAACTACTTACAATCACTGCAAATATCCCGAGTTTATTAAGATTGTCCAAGTAAACTACTTACAATAACTGTTTCTTTTCTTTTGAGATTGATACCAAGAACATAAAGCACATCATATTTACAATAACTTGTGTACATAAGAAGGATGCTATCTGGAAGTAGAGGCTGGTATTAAGATATATACACGAGTTGTTATTATCATCATAAATGGAGATTTGATTGGTGCATTGATGTAAAAAAAATATTGCGAGTGGAGAAGAGGATCAAGCACTGAATCCGCGATGAAGAGAGCTCCAAGGACCGGCCGGGATAGTGGGACAAGCCTGCATTGCTGCCTCCTCCATCTGTTCCACCTGAATCCCTGCGTTGCATATGTTTGCAATGGACCTCATGTGCTTGATTCCGTACTGAGACAATGATCCACAGTGCCTCTCATAAGCTCTCACCTAACCAACCACATGAAGGATTGATCATCACAAGAATCTTAATCATCATTCAATGAGGACTGAAAGTGAGATTTTTTCTTTCAGAAATGTACCAGTGTTTTAAGACAGTCCCAATCGTCGACAAGCGGTTTTCCAGAAGGCCGGACTTTATTTAGCACTAAAGGACCTTCTGAAATGCCAAACAAGAGCTTCCCAATCATTAGAAAGCTATTGTCGATGTGAAGTCTGTGTGACATTGCTTCGAGTACTTGCTTCTGCGCTTCAGCTTTTCTTGCAGAACCTTCCGGTGCCTTTTGATACTACAATAAACAAGAACTTGACAGATTAAGTAATCAGTTACAATATCAAAACACTATTAGAGTTTGTAACCCTTGAAGATAAACCTTATCCCAAAAATGGACAAGATCTGCGTCACGCTGGTTTGTAACTCTTGAAGGTGGTCGTAGTGAATTCTTATCTACAAAGGTGTAGTTTTCATTGTCTGGGTTTGTTCCCATGTAAAGGACGAGCATCTCCTTGCTAAGTCCTATATCCCCAAACTCCATCACATGGGAACCATAAGAGGTATTAGAGCCTGCAGTCCTCTTTTTCACCTGAAACAATAATATCAATTTGATCTCAATGTTCTCATTTGAATCACAAATATACACAAAACTTGAAGCTTACTAGTTCATATTGTTGGTGCAAACTCTCTGTTTGTAAATTGTGTTGATCACTGTGAATTGAAAAAAAAAACAAATAATAAACCTTATATCAAGAATGATCCTACTCTTCACTGTCATGATATTATTAACAGTTCTTGTAGCATACCTATCTTCCATCCAAGAAACACTGTATAAGTCACCCAAACAAGTCTCATACTCTTTGGGTGGACTAGAATCATCTCCAGGACAATAAGTACCCCAGCTACTTTCTTCTGCGTTTGACGCGGTTGTTGCATAAATGTTTAAACCTTCTGGTAAAAGGCCTTCGAAAATACTTCCAGATTCACAAGCCTCTAAATAAAACACCTACAGAAAAAAAAAAAAAAAAAGTAGTCAAGCCAAATCACTGGCATTGCATTTCAGAAGAATCTTAGCATTATACCAAGCTCTTATAGGTTCCGGAAGCATGTTTTTTCTTCAAGATATCGATGAGATCGTTAGCATATAGGTGAGGAGAAGTCGGCATTCCTGCAACCAACCATGTAGACTGAATCTTCAAAACTTTTTTCATCAATTTTGTTGATTTAACAGAAGAAACAAAGGAGGGTATAATCTCACCGAGCACTCCCGGGCCACCGTGATCGCTATAGTATATGAAGATATGATCGTCTGGACCACTATCTACAACCTTTCCACTTCCACCTTTAAGAGCCGTTTTGTTTGCAAGGATCACAGCAAACAAATTATCAACGTTAACATCATCTCCAGTGTAATCCTGCCACAAGCAAACCCCAAATCACAAAGACCCTTATGGATACTTCAGTGGTTTTTAACCGCGACTAAAAATCGAAACAAAGCCCAAAAAAGAAAAAAACCTTGGGAACTCCATTATAGACATCATTTCCATTAGGACTGTTAATAATGATTCCAGGCCTTGGGTTCTCTTTGTTTTTTGCAATATCATCGTACATAAAAACTATGATATTCTCCTCTTTCAGTCCACCTTTCCTCAAAAGCTGATAAGCATGACAAACATCTGCCTGAAAAAATATTAAGAACTCGTTATTAGTCTCTACTAAACTAAAAACTTACTCTCACAAAAAGCTTCATCGTTTCAAATTAGAGACACAACATTGATTGACTAGAAAAAAAACATTGTTGTATAACCAAATTAAATTGACTAAAACATACATTAACATTTTTTTTTAAGATAACCAGAGTGATCTAGACTTTTACCACCCGATTAATTCCTTCAAGGTGAGTGTAGCAGTCGAGTAGCCAACTTACCGATTTTTTTTAATGGGTCAAAAACTTAACGCTATTTCAACTAGCCAAATGGGAGTAGTTAGATAATTTTATGTTCGATGGAAATCGAACCCGAATCTAAATTAACATGTCAAAGTAAGAATCACTAACCACTACCACTTGGTTAACATACACTGACTCATACACAATTGTTGAGTAATTATTTTTAGCTAAATTATGGTCAACGTATGTTATAGCAAAATTATGTTAGTTTCGTGTATAGACAAATTAAATTATGTAGTTTGTGTATAACTCGGCATAACCCAATAATTTTGTGTATATGAATAAGCCATCTTCAAGATTGACTAAACAACAAGCAAAGATCACAGCAAGAAACAATATCAGCTGAAAAACTCACAAAATCAATGATTGATGATGAGAGAAGTAAACGTAAAAACAAAGCCAACATAAAAAAACTCGAAATTAAATATAATCTAAGAGAGAATCGCATGATAATCACCTGATGCCTATAATTCCAATATCCGCTAGATCCGGCGACGAGAACAGCCCACTTCGTACCGGCCGAAGAATCACCATCATCGTTGTGTTTAGTCGTACGGAAGAATTTAGAAGCTTGAGAAGGCAGTTTGATGACGTCACAAGAAACGGTGACTAGAGAGATGAAGAGGGCGAGAAAAGAAACGGCGACGGTGACAGTGACGGAGACGCGTGACATGTTTTTTTGGTGATTATTATTTATCCTCCGGCGAGAGTGTGGTGACGTGGATAAGAATCTTTGGATTAGACGGGGCCTGCTATTTATAAATATTCAATGAACCTTTTTTTTTTTTTTTTACAATTTATTGTAAAATAACGTTTGTCCATTACTTCGTTTATTGAAACACGCAAGTAAAAATATAAAGTCTATAAAGTTTTTTATAGATGTTTTCTGTTTTTAAATACTTTCAGTTAACATTTAAAAACAAAACAAAAATCAGTTAAAAATTTACATACGTTTTTTTTTGCCAAAAAGTTACATACGTTAAAGGCAAAAGTCACGAGAAACACACTTGCAAGAAAAAAAAAATCGTAATACCAGAGTATTTTACGATGCTAATCCAACCATAACACGTCGATATTGATTTAGTGATTTCACATTTTGAATCTTGTATATTCATAAACGCTTGCTATAATTCTTAAATTTTGTGACTAGTCTCATAAGGATGTATATAATTTATGGTAATTATTTTATAAATTTTCAGCTGGTCTAGTATATGCTCTGAACTGTAAGTTCTTATGTCGAATAAATTGCGTTTAAGCAAAATTAAACCCATTGGCGATAAAATTAAATTAAATGTTGCACAAAAATAAAATAAAAGTTGTTTGTTCGGACAGCTGCTAAGCTTAGTGAATACGAAATAGAGGATTCAGTTATCTTTCAATTCAAATTTCTCAGTTTAAGTTTGTGTAATTTGATTTGGTTTTAGAAATGAGTAGAATTGGGATAAAGGAAACAAAACGATTGGAAAAAAACAATGGTAAAGAACTGGCCCATAATAGGATGATTTAGATTAATACTGAACATAAGTTAGAGCTTAATCCATTTTCTGCTTCTGATGTAAGCTTTAATTGTCGTATTAGCAAAAAACAGATAAAAATGCCCAGCAAGAATCTTAGTTTACTTGTCATATTAGGTGAATCTTTTACCCAACACCAGAATTGCCCAATGTATGTCTGATTTTGTAGCACCAATGTTGTATCATCGGCTTTTGAGGGTCAATCACCAGTGAACAGGCAAGGAATGGTCGACAAATCCATTTCGGAGGAGCTTCAGAACGTTGTTCATGCCGCTGATCAAATGACAAAAAAAAAAGCTCCAGAAGAAGTTTAAACCTTCAAGTTTTTCTAAACACTAAAAGCATCGATATCTATTATTTGATTAGCGGACAAAGGTATTTGTTTGATCAAAAACATATTTTAAACAAAGTTTTTGGATTCACTAACAAACATCTTCCTGATGTTCAAAAATTGTAATTTGAAGTTGGGTACGATCTCTTAGGAGTCAAGGTATTGCCGCTTTCTAAGGCCTTGGGTTACTTGAGACTATGAAGTATGTGGGCGTCTTTATATTCGTATAAATTAACATGTCGCATGCATGCTTCTTTCTCTTTTATATATTTAAGTTTCTTGTGAATCTCTTTGTTCGTCAGATTACTAAATTAAAGAAGACTTTTATAGTAGTTCAAAGATTAACACAATAAACCACTAGGGCAAAGACATAAAGCATGACACATTGAGAAAAGGAGGAATGTGAGGAACCATATCAGCTCTATTCGGAATACAGGTGATACCAATACAACGAGGGAATTCAATTTCTTTTGTTTCTAAAAAATCACATTAGCTTCCTCACAATATCAGACACTTTCTCCACTGTCTCTTGATTGGCCATAACCCACATAAATACTTAACATTACATTTTAAGTCTTTGAAACGCAAAGCTCAAGCAGGGTCACGAACTCAATAAAAAGTTGAGGCACATATTGCGAGGCAAGCATGATTGAACGTTTGAGACTGAAGGAAAGATTGGAAAGTCTTTCTATTGTTGAAAATCGCTGCTGGTTTCTGGAGTCTGAATCTTCTTGTTGTTGCCTGTTCATCATGCATTGGACAACGATTTCATTCAGATACCAAGAAGCAATAAGGAGATCGATTTTTACAACCATAGCAAGGAATTTGTGTTTCAAGTAATTGACAGATTTCAAACGCAAGATTGTGCTAGATACCATACGGCGCATACATATTTTAGATATGTAGATTCCATATACTTACATTTAAATGATTCCTTTTCTGAGCTACTTAAAAAGACATAGTTCATCAGTTATGCATTTAGTATTTTTTTGAGATTTTTAAAGAAAATTTATATTTGCTATATGATGAAACGGAACTTCTGTGGATAGAATTAGACATCTATTGATTGTAAGAATTTCCGGGAAACTAGAGTTTGATAATATATTTCCCAAAATCTCTTTAGAAAATCTCATTTTTAAAAACGGAATACAATTTTAATTCTAAACGCTTATCTTATACTATATATATATATATATATATATAAAGGTGAATTGCTCAATATGAATATGACATATATGATACTTATAAGTTATAACTCACATGATCGTAAAATATGTCATCGTTATTTTTGTCTCATAACATATGTCAATTAAGCAATATTAAACCATTCTATTTTTATTTATTTCAGAAAAGAGAAAATGAAATACGTTTATTTAAATATAAACTAGGATACTGGCCCGCACGCATGTACGGGTTTGAATGTTTTTATAAATTTTATTTGTATTAGGTATATTGTTAAGTTTATTGGGTCGAAATTTATAAAATTGATAATTGACAGTGTGTGTGGATACAGTGTTACCACATTTGGGCCGAATGGTATGTTATTAGTTCAAGAATTGGATTGTGTCTTACAATTGGCTATACTTTTTTTGATGTAAATATAAACAATAAGTGATGTATAACTGATTAAGTAATTATAATTAGGTATGTATAATGAAGAAAGTGTAGATGAAGAATACATGTAATTATGAATACATACATTAATTTTATGTTCGTAAATCGTAAGTTATTCATCGAAATGTGACATATATGAACATATTTTATAAATTATATGCAAAGATGTATTCATTTATTTCGAAATGTAAATTCATTTGGAAATGGTGTTGTATCAGTCAAATGTTATTTAATATGTTGTAATTATAAACGCCTTTTGGGGAATATGAAACAGAGCGAAGAAAAATGAGGAGTCACTATCTAAGAATTCTATATACACACCCCATAAGAAAATTTTGATCAACTAACCAAGCAAACAATTACTTACTCAAACACAACCCATACTACAATTATTCTTCTGATGTGATCCTCAAACAGACGTACAAAAAATATGTTTACATGAAGAAAAAATACACTTTTTCCTACATAATATTTCTTGTGCATCTGTCGAGAATCACATCAGAAAAAGTTGTTATATTCATTATGTCGTCACAGAGTTATTATAATTATATTAGTTGTGAATGCTCACTTTCGACAAGAAGTATACTGTTAGTACTTTATACCAAAATCTGAATAGAGTAGAAATACAAGTAATTTTGATCAGTAGGTAATAATAAATGTATACCATTTTTCATAAGTTTTTGCTATTATTGATTTTTGATTATTCACTGAAATTTTTAGGAAAAACTGTCCTTGCTTATGTAGGAAATTGTTATTTACATCGAATGAGATCCGACATAAAAACCTTTTAATTGGTATTTTTTTAATTTGAAAATACTACAATTTTCCAAATTATCAGGAATGTTAGATTTTTTATATCTCATCGCAACAATTATCTAGAATAACAACAAATCGTATTTTTCTATATTATGTATTTCATTTAAATTTGAAATTTAAAAAATTGATCAATTTTATTAGAGATTTCTAAAATTTGAGATATATTTTATCTTATTAACAACTAAGTTACGATTAATCCGCATCAACAATACATTAAACTTACAATTATAACAGTTTATTAACTATATTATAAATTATAAGTTACGGTATAATTAATGAAATGTTAATTGATTGACTGTTGTATTAATTATGTAATATGTAACGATGGAAAATGTAGTATTTAGTAGATGATTTACCTTACTATTTCTGATATTCAAAATAAAAGGTAATTTAAAAATATAAGACGATGAAAAACAACAAAATGAAAGTAACTTATTGAAATAAAGATTCAGCATGAAATTTTAAAACTAATATTAAGAAAGACATATAAATCTAATTGACCGGGAATAAGCCCATTGCATAGCAAGCTTCTCTGAAGGTGTCGTATACAACACCATTAACTGTTCGAATATCTTCATAACTGCGAGGACCTCTAATGATATTCAACAGACAACCCAAATAAAAAATTTTCTATCATAAATTGAATACTGTTGAAGAATAGTTGGATTTCCTGAACCCTTCACCCGTGGCCTCCACTCATGCAATGTGGCATTCCAGACAAATTGATGAGATAATTCAGTGTAGAGCAGGAATCTGGCAGTTGGGTATATCTTGTTACACTCCATCAAAGCAATAAATTTTGTATTTTTCATTAGTTTGTCGACTTGTTTCGCTTGGGAGAATTTTTTCTTGATAGATGAAATTGAATAATTTCTAAAAAACAATCATAAGAACTTGTTAAAACAGTTAAAAGGAAACAAATAATGTATGATAAGAAGTTATAAAGGTTAAGTCTCTATATATAGTTCTATACCAAGGATTCTTAATAGAATAAAGTTGGACGCAGAAGGATTATCTATCCTGTTCATAGCAGTAGAAAAGGAGAATATTGAGAATTTTTTTCCAGTGTAACAAATGAAGTTGAAGTTCACAAAAGTATGATTTGAATATATAGATGGATTGAATACAAGAATATACGAATAAGTTAAAGATTGCAATATGCATCTCGTTATAGAAAGCAACAACAATATATCAATATCCTTCATATTATATTTTAAAAAATCCAGAATATATGGTTAGATAATTCAATTTATAAATAATTGCTTCATAAGAATATTAGTTCGAAATTATCGGAGCACAATATTATGTTACCATATATTACGGTTTAAATCAAACTTTAAAGAAGAAAATCCAAATTTTTAAACATTTTTGTATGAGACAAGTTATGTGAATTAGACGAAGAAGACTTCTGTAAATATTATGTCCATTTATCAAAAGCGAAAGT